CTATGGGCTCCAGTAACCACGTAACACCAGGTGGGCTGTGAGCTCGTCCACCCATTTAAGTAATAATAAAAAAATACGAAGAATAAAATTCGAAGATTATAGAAATACTCTGTTGATGAAGAATAGTAATAGTTGGTTAGTTTGTTTAGACCTGTTTGATTTTATTTGATGCATTAGTATGCGGTATTTTAACCGACTTCAAAAAAAGGAGGATGTTTTCTAAATCGACTATATTTTTTGTGTTACCTCAGAACTTTTTTCTAGGCAAAGTTTCACTTTGATATTTTTTTATATATGGAAGCTGTGGCTTTTCTCTTGACGCCATTAAAATTTTATTAAGAGCTGACCAATAATTTCATAGTTATTCTTAATAATGCAAGTTATTAATTTATTTCACTTTGAATACATTGATTATAATCTCATTTTATTTTGCAGTAGTCGGTTCTTTTTTTTTTCAAATTTTTTATTATATATTTCCATTTCATATTTAAGGCCTGACTTTAGGTGACAGTTAGGCGGAAAAAGTTTGTACTTTTTTGTAAGGTGTAAACATAGACCTTTTCATACTTCAGTGGGCGTAAAAGACCGTTTCTAATGACATGTGACATGAAAAAAAGAAGGTGCTACATTCAAATTATGGCTTCTATGAACATGAACTTTTCTACCGATAGACAATAGTACGACACAATCATTTGCCATTTGCTTTAGCTAAGCTTTTTGTTTTATTCTTTTCGCTAGCTAAGCTTTTTGTTTTATTCATTTCACGTAGTCAGCAATTAAGTGTACGTAAAATTATGGCACAACACTTACTTGGATTTATACAATCGCACTCACTCAATTTAGCGAAGTACGGTTCCCTGCGTTTCAGAGAGACCAAAGATCGGCACGATCTAGAACCATACGCGTCAGTTGATACATTGAGCTTTATAAAAATCGTAGTTTTCTTTTAATGTGTCAGAAATCACCGACAGGCTATTAAATCTCAATTTTTGTTTTGACAGCCTTTATGCTAAAAAAGGGAATGTATAATATACAAATACATATACACTAGATACTAGATACTGTATTCAAAAGTAGGTATATTTACAAATTTAAAAAAGTTATCGATCAAGGTCTATAATTTTGCGAAAGTATTAGTTTATAATTAATTCACACAGAAGCANGTCAGAAATCACCGACAGGCTATTAAATCTCAATTTTTGTTTTGACAGCCTTTATGCTAAAAAAGGGAATGTATAATATACAAATACATATACACTAGATACTAGATACTGTATTCAAAAGTAGGTATATTTACAAATTTAAAAAAGTTATCGATCAAGGTCTATAATTTTGCGAAAGTATTAGTTTATAATTAATTCACACAGAAGCACAAAGCGTCTTTATAAACACTGAAGATCCCGATATTAAATTATTAGTGGATATAAAAATATACTATGTTGTCAGTATAGGTAGTTTTAGTCTTAAGTAAGTGCAAACATCCGGTCTCAAGGCAATCCACACTAAACGTTCGTCTGAGGATTTGCGACCACCGTAAACAGCGAGCTGAAACAAGGGTATACTTTTATTCGAAACGTTACTTTAACACAATGGCATTTCATTTCGGTTACCTTTGTGTGAGTGATGTAGCTTTTATTTAGTACGGTTCATATAATTCGTACTTTTTCCCTTGTATTTGATGACCGTCTGTCGGTATTGTACAATTAAAAAAATTACATATGCTCATAAATACATTTGATAGTAGATAACTTGTTAATTGAATAAGTTCTCAAAAAGCGTGTTAACAATCACAAGCACAGCAAACATGTTCGCCAGGATGAGCGTATCGCAAAGGGCCAAAGCTGCCCATCAGTAAAGAACTTTTCTACGTGCGATTGTAAGTAGAAGCAGAGCCGTATTCGTTCCTCATTTATAAAGACAAACATTGTATATGTAACTGGAATAATATTTTTTCAAATTTAATATTCTTTTTCAGTTCGACTGTCCTTTTAAAACACCATCCCAGTGGTCAGAATTCAATCATACATAGGCGGCACTGAAAATGTCGAGAATTAACGAAGTGACACAACATTACTATTTAAAAATGTATTTATTGCTTTTCGAAGTATTCTCCGCGAAATTTGACAAATTTTTCCATACGATGGAACCAATCATTGAAGCAACCATTCCATTCGGAAGTTGGGGTCTCCAAAATGGCCGTTTTGTAGGCGTCCACAGCTTCTTCAAGTGATGAAAATCTCTGTCCACGAAATTTATTCTTTATTTTAGGGAAAGTATAGAAATCATTAGGGCTTAGGGCGGGGCTGTACGGCAGATGGTCTAATAATTCTATGTTTTCTTGCTCTAAAAACTCTTTTGTTCTGTGCGCGGTGTGAGAACTCGCATTGTCGTGATGGAGGATGATGCGGCGGTTGCAGTTCTCTTTACGGAGTTCAGAAACGACCTGTGGCAAAAAAATGCTAGCATACCATTCTGCATTAACCGTTCTTTGTCCCTCAAGAGGAATAGTCGTAACATGGCCGGTTTTGGAGACAAACGTGGCCACCATTTTTTTTGCAACACTCCGCGAACGAACAATTTTTGTTGGCTTTAACTCATTTTCGAACACCCAAATTCGTGACTGGTTTTTTGTTTCGGGTTCGTACGCGTATATCCAGGATTCGTCACCTGATACAATGTTGTATACAGCATTTGAGGATCCAGCGTGGAATCTTTCGAGAGTTCTGACGCACCAAGTAACGCGAGCCGCTTTTTGCTCTTCACAGAGCGAATGCGGTATCCATCGGGAAAACAACTTTTTTACACCTAATTGTTNTTCACAGAGCGAATGCGGTATCCATCGGGAAAACAACTTTTTTACACCTAATTGTTCATGCAAGATTATTTGTATTTGACTCATGCCAATGTCTAAAGTTGCCTGAATTTCGCGGTATGTCACATGTCGATCTTCCTCAATCAGCTTACGCACAGCATCAACGTTTTCTTGGGTAACTGCAGTTTTTGGACGACCTTGACGGGCATCATCACTGAGCTTGACACGTCCACGTTGAAATTCAGCAAACCAGCGATAAATTGTGGTTTTGGATGGGGCTTCATCACCAAATGCAGAAATCATCCGGTCAACACACTGTTTTTGTGTTAAACCATTTCGAAAGTCATAATAAATCATCGCTCTTGAATTTTCTCGAGTCAATTCCATTTTCTCAACGACTAAACAAGTTTGACAAAACCTCGTGACAAGACCGAGAATATTTTTTAAATAAATAAATGGTATTCGATTTTTAAATCAAGGAGTTTTCAATTAAAAAGATTTTAATATGACAGGAACAGTGGAAATATTCCATTCCCGATACTTTTAGTGCAGCCCTCGTAATAATTGACAATTCAAGACTAAGTTTATTATGTTACGTTATATTTGACAATATTTTTGTTTGTTATTGATATAAAAAATCAGTTTTAATCGAAAGCAAGGCAATTGAACTGTTGTCTATTGTAATATATTATAAATACCTACATAAATACTACTTAATGTATCGTTGACACAAAAACATCAGCTTTAACAAAAATGTTACAATATTTTTCTTTTGAAATGATTTTAATAATTTATCAATTATAACTATGAAAGCTGAGAATACAGTACAATATACCTACTCTATTCCACACCAAAAGCAACCAATTACAAGTATAAAGACATTGTACCTAAATGCTTCGTATTTAATTAAATTTGCAAAAAGGCGTAAATAGGCGTAAATAGTATTAGCCCCGATACTTGGTTACTATCGGTGGTCTTAGAAATCACAGCACGAAGCCTTCGTTCACTTGAAATGTCGTGGTAGTAGCAAGTCTTATTTATAACACTTATTTACACTTTTTTATTTTTCCAAAATAAGCGATTTATCCTAATTTAGTGATCTGACGTCGTTTAGTTGTTATGACGGTTATAGTTTCGCATTTTGAAAAAAATGAGGGCTCATACAGTTTTTGATAAAACGGGAGGACTATGCAAAGCCCCTGTATGGCAGAGCCTTAACATTTTATTCTCCGATACACAAATGAAATTTGTGGCAGGAAACTGGATAGGAACAAAATATATTTTTAATTTAACACTTTCTGTTCTTTTATTTTAATTATCGTCTTCTTCGATTTCCTTACTTAGAGACAAATTATTCATCATTTCAAAAGCATAATTATTATAAAGAATCTAAAAGGTAATCCAACCATTCTGAGCTTATCCTTAGTTAATTCTATATGTTCATATCTTGACTTTCGTCTGTCTGTTATTTTTTTGTTTAGCGGTGATACATTCTCGCAGCTCATCACTTTAAGCAATCATCGTAGATCTTACAATGTATGTAGATGCCTCTCCGTGCCCATGAAATCCAACATAACTAACACGACTTCCAAGTTTCCTTATATTCAAATATATACATTCAAATTGGAAATAATGTTTGCTTTTTAGCAGGTCAGAGGTAGTCACAAACCCGATCACAAATACTTAGGATAGGAACGAGGGCGGAGTATGTAGGAACATGAGTTGAGGATATTACTTTATTTATTTGTTTATTGCTTACTTAATTTGGTGGACGAACCCACGGGCCCACCTGGTGTTAAGCGGTTAACGGACCCCATAGACACCTACGACGTAATGCCGCCACCTACCTCGAGACATAAGTTCTAAGTCTCAGTTTTAACAGTACAACGGCAGCCCTGCCCTTCAACTTACTATTATTTGTTTATTACTACTATTACTTTATCTTCTCGCAATTCGTCTTTTACAGTAAATACCTATAGGTACCATACCAGATATATACCCAGATACCTAGTACTTACTGTTAGAGAGGGATTAATATGTGATAAAGTAAAAGTATTTAAAGGTAGCCCGGGAAGTATTGCATAATACAAATCGTATGATTAATAACATGGATTGGTAATTTAAATACATATATCAAAATATGTTTGATTCTACTGACTACTGAAGTAAACGTATTTTTTAATTTCAGGCTGCTGTTCCCGAAGGCATGACCTTTCCTGGACCACTGCCCGATGTAGCAGAGAGATGTGGTCGTTGGGCTCCAGATTCACTGTCAGCTTCAGCGTCAGGTAGTTCAGATGAGAAACCTACACCTCGTCGTCCACGTTGGAGAATAGCTTTGGCCGCACTAGTTGTGTTAGCTGGTTTGTGTGCTGCACTAGCATTGCCACTCGCTTTAGGAGGTGGTGGTCGTGCTACACCAGAACAACGGCTCACGACCATACGCCGCATGTTACGAGACTCTCCGCTTGTCGACGGTCATAATGATTTGGCGTGGAACGTTCGAAAGTTTTTACATAATAAAATTGGTGACTTCAATTTGAGCGCTGGTCTGGAAGGATTAGAGCCGTGGGCACGTTCGCGCTGGTCGCATACTGATATACCACGATTAAGACTTGGTCAGGTCGGTGCTCAATTTTGGTCGGCATACGTCCCGTGCGGTGCGCGGGACAGAGATGCTGTGCAGTTAGCTTTAGAACAAATGGATGTTATTAAACGAATAGTTGAGATGAATGCAGCACATTTAGCACTCGTCACGGACGCGGCTGAATTATTAGAAGCGCATCGAGAAGGTCGGATAGCATCATTAATTGGTGTAGAAGGAGGTCATGCTCTTGGAGATTCCCTTGCAGTTTTACGTGCATTTTATCAACTTGGCGCTCGTTATCTAACAGTAACACACACGTGTGACACAAAATGGGCACGAGCAGCTGGTAGCTCTGGTGGTCTTACAGAGTTTGGACGAGCAGTCGTTCGAGAAATGAATAGATTGGGTATGGTTGTCGACTTGTCTCACGCCGGTGAAGAGACAGCGCGTGATGCGTTAGAAATGTCGCAAGCACCGGTGGTGTTTTCTCATTCGGGAGCAGCCGCGTTATGTAATTCATCTAGAAACGTGCCCGATGATTTGTTACGTATGATCGCAGCGAACGGGGGAGTGGTCATGATTAACTTCTATGCAAAACTAGTGACGTGCGGTGAGCGTGCAACTGTTGAAGATGTTGTGGCACATATTAACCATGTTAGACGCGTTGCTGGCGTTGAACACGTAGGCTTGGGGGCGGGCTACGACGGTATTGATGCTCCACCTGAAGGATTAGAAGATGTTTCTCGATATCCCCACTTGCTAGCAGAACTATTACGAGATCCCGATTGGAGTGAAGAAGATGTCCGCAAATTGGCCGGTATGAATGTTGTACGTGTGTTACAAAATGTGGAGCGCGTACGAGATCAGTGGCGGCGTGCTGCAGTTCTTCCTGGAGAAGAATCAGCAGGTGTGCGTCGTGGAGACTGCGTTTACGGACCCGCGTGACGCAGGCTGCGAGCCGCGCGCTACCCGCGGCAATTATCGTACTGCTCAATATTGACATTTGTTGAACGTAGTTATACTTGTATTATTAGTGTCAACATGTGATTTAGCGAATAATCTAGTTACGGAAGTAATTGCGAATCATTGAATGATAAGAGTAACAGCTAAAAACTGTAAATCTCGGTAGGCAAAACAAAACTTTTTCAGTTTACAAACAAATTTGACAATGAAAATTAGTGTCTTAAAGCGTTCCTACGACAAATAATACATAATTATGTATATTTAAAGAGTGTATTATTAAAACCAAATTAATTTACATTAAAAAATTTAAATACGAGTAATTCCTCAAAGCAATAAGTACAAAATAATAAAAATGGGAACCATTAGATGTAGAAAAGTGTAGGTCTGGCCACGTTGTATGTATTGCTACTGATGCTTGGTAAAAATTTACGGAGAGGTTCAGAACATTTTAGAATATTTAAAATGATGCGTTGCTGTTATTGTTCCATGGTGGTAATAACTTTCAATACTATCTTGACCTGAGACCTCATTGCACAAATTGTTTAGCTAAGGACAGAGCACACTGGGCGATTCGTCTAGGTGCGTCCGCGTCTGCCCGCTGAACTGTTCTCCATCCATGCACGACTTCCTTGACGAGAGCCCAATGTGACATTTAAGAAAGTAAATTATATAAAAGGAATAACGTGTTTATAGAAAAATAAATATCTTTATTTATAATATTTGTTTTTTTATTTTACGATTTCTTGCAACAAAGGCAGGTCGGTGGCAGCACTTTCTGAATTAAAAAGTGGAACCTATCTGTGCGGAATCGCAAGATAACTTAAAAAATGACGAAGAACGTCTTGATGAAGAAGATGACCAGTAATTAAGTGGTCTGCGTAATTAACGCAATTTGTATTTTTAGCTGATTTGGTTCTAATTACACAATGTCATTCCTTCGTAGTGGAAGCTATTCGTTCAATATAAATAACAATTCACATGACTTAATACGTCGCTTCCCGCCAGAAAGTTAGACATTTGCTTGTTTCGAAGAACATTTAATTGACAATTGCAGCCAGTGTTGCCGTCTTTTGGAAAATAAAACCATAACGGCAATCGGTTGTTATGGGAGAGGCGCCACTTTTATAAAGCGGCACGACACGAGAACTCTCTCATCGTGGCCGTCGGTAACTACATTCCCGATCCTGCGGAAAGAATGCAAAGCAGTCGACGTCGCCCCAAACACGTCATTTCGGATCCTCCCGATCCACTAACGGTGCTTTTAGATACCTCAAGCACCGGTCACCGGTCTCGTCGAACCCGTCGCTTGCGACGAAGGGCTCGACGAGTCAATTAACCCTCAGACACAGCCCGCTGAGTTTCTCGTCGGATCTTCTCAGTGGGTCGCGTTTCCGATCCGGTGGTAGATTCTGCGAAGCATGGCTCTTGCTAGGGTTCGTGTTAGCAACGACGTCAGGTTTGAGCCCCGTGAGCTCACCTACTAGTTAAGGTTCCGCTGATAAAGCCTCTCAAGGCTATCAGCTTAGGTTGGAAAAAAAATTTAAGGGAGAGTATTGGAGTAAGTCCAATTTGAGTCATCTGACTGTAGGAAAAACACATTTTTTGTGTTTTTTATTTAATGCTACTGTTGGCTGTCGAGCATCAAGCTGAACTTATGGTTAAGAATTGCTCGTGGTCGACAGCAATGGCAGGAGTATAGCCAAATCGCCACCTTCCGCTAAACATGTAACCGCACAACTATGGGCTGCAATGTAGCAATTGTGAATGGAGAGTCTGAGGTAAGTACGGAGCAGCGGAGGATAGTGGCCACGTGAGCACTATAGTGTTCTATAATATACTGATTTTATTATGAATAATCTTGTTAACGTCTTCTAAGATTTAAATATGTTATAATGGTGATTTATTATAGGTAGGCAGCGGCTGGGCTCTGCCCCTAGCATTGCTGACGTCCATAAGCGACGGTAACTACTCACCATCAGGTGGGCCGTATGCTTGTCTACCTACAAGGGCAATAATAAAAAAAAAACAATTTAGCTTGCTAGGAAGTTTCAGTGCTACTTCATTACTGCCCTTTTACTGACATTATTTCGTTTGCTTTGACTTTTCTTTTGAATAAACAACATCCTTAGCACTATTGTAATTGAAAACTCGATGAAATAGAAATAGTACACGTAAAGCTACACTATAAAACAAACAAACAAACGGATTCGAATAACCTGACACTAGCTATCAAAAAACCCAAATCGCAAATCAGAATCTATCGCCACTATGCCTCTCAGGCCAACCGCTAACTTTCATGGGGTTCATGATGATTAAAAGGTCGAGATACTAGCCGATGCACTGCTAAAGCAGTGCACCATCAGTGCTCAAACCACGGATCCGAACACACATCATCGTTGGACGCGTTACCACCATTAGCGTTAACGAAGTCAAAGACGAACTGGCGACCTTACGACCATATAAGCCCCAGGCTCTGACGGAATCTATTCCTAAGTACGTTTTAAAAATTTAACTCGCCCAACTATTTATTATGTTTGTCTACATTTTAAATGTCACTATGATGAACTGCATCTTTCCCGCGGTGTGGAAAAAAGCGGACGTTATTGGCATACACAGACCTGGGAAACCTAAGCCCGATTTCATGAGCTACCGCCCGATCAGCCTCCAGTCAGTGTTAGGCAAATTATACGAGCGGATATTACGCAAACGCCTGTGGGACTTTATCACCTCGAAAGGCATTCTGATCGACGAATAGTTCGGATTCCGCCCGCTTTCGTGCATAATGCATTCAACAAGTGCATCGTCCCACGAAGCACATCTTAATTGGGCTGAACAAAAGTTAACACGGGGGCCCTATTCAAAAGGGGTTGCCTTGCCTCCCGATACCACTGCTCGACCACAATTCTAGACGAGATCGTACAGAATTAGACGCGCTAACTTCATTACCGTCATCGAAATATTTGGCCAGTCCATACCGTGGGCTTCGAAGGTCAAGTACCTAGTTGTCACCCTTGACAGAGGTAGGTAGCATTTGGTCCCCACATCAAATCAGTACGCGACCGAGCCGCGTTCCCACTCGGTCCACTCTACCCCATGATCTGCAAGCGAAGTAACTCATAGACACAACCTACTGAGTTTCTCGCCGGACCTTCTTAGTGGTCGCGATTCAAATCCGGTAGTAAGGGACAGACGCGAAGCACTGCTCTTGCTAGGGCTAGTGTCAGCTGATTCTCTCATTGATCCCGATAGAGCTTGTGAGCTCACCTACCCGTCCGCGAGAAACAGGAAGCTACTTGCGAATAGGTATGGAAAAAAAATTGGCGGGAAGTGTGATTTGTAAAAAGGAAAGGCTGGGATCACCTCAAACACTACAAGGCCGAAAACACAAACATAGATTTTCGGCCACATCAGGGTACAACTTGGTAAAGTATTATGTTCGTTTTTCTATTAGGAAAGGCGAAGTTATCACACTATAGTGCCTGATTTTTGAGAAATTCTATTAAACGAAAAATAATATAGAGCAATTGATATGGATGAAACTAGATGAATTTTATTTATTTAAAACTGTAATCAAATGGGCTGAAATGAAATGTAACAAGATGAACGAGAGAACCCGATGAAAAGGCTAAAATCTCAGTAAAATTGTGGTTATTTAGTGATTTGTACTGAGTGGATTATTGGAAGAACGTGCAGCGACTTGTTTCGTTTTCCCACATTTGTACACTTTCGCAGATATATAATATAAAAGGATAAGAAACCATCATTATTACACGTTTATACTTAACGAAATTACACTACATTAAAAATAAAATAGTTTTTATGAAAGTCTATCCAAATTCGATCATCGCGTTCCTGCCAAGAAGTCCTTTTTATCTTTTTTTTTGGCTCCGGCACGGTTTATGCAATAGCCAGTGTCAAGTAATAAGATTTTTATAATTCGCCGTTTTAATAGGGTATTTATAGTTTAAGAATAATAAAAAACGAAGAAGCTGTCCATGTTGGCTATTATTAATATCAGTGAAAGTATGAATTAAATTAGCAGCGTGGGACGGTATAGATAAATTAGGTTGAGAAAGTAATTTGATTAATGTAGTATAACTATATTAATAATTTTAATTAACTCTGCAAATGTTATGTAATAATAGGTTGGGGAATAAGTCTTTTCGCATAGTATTGCATAATATGTATGAACTTGTAATAAAATCTCTTTGGCTATACTATTTGTATCTAGCTGGTTTGGGATCATTAAAAGTTTAAATTTTAAAGAAGATAATTCCAAATTCAAATTAGGAAAATGTGTGATTTTTATTTATTTTTCGTAGGTAGGTACTGTCAAGATGAGTGAATCTAATGAAGAAATTCGATACATTTTAAAATTTTACTACAAAAAAGGTAAAAATGCAACACAAACCGCGAAAAAAATTTGCGATGTTTATGGACCTAGTGCAGTGTCTGTGAGAGTAGCACAAATTTGGTTTAAGCGTTTTCAATACGGAAATTTTGATGTCAAAAATGCACGTCGCTCTGATTATTACGGATAAAATGGATGCCGTTTTTGAAAAAGTGGAGCAAGATCGGCATATCAGTAGTTACGACGTAGCTGAAGAATTGGGAATTTAACACAAAACAGTTTTTACGCTTTTAAAAAAAACTGGGTACACATAAAGGTTCGATATTTGGGAACCTCTGGAGCTCACTGAAAGAAACCTTATACACATAATGAACCGTGTACTCATTTGTGATTCTTTATTACGACTTAATGAAACCGAACCATTTTTGAAGAAGCCGATAACTGGTGATGAATAGTGGATCACGTACGACAAGAACGTGCGAAAAAGGTCGTGGTCAAAGGCCAGTCAGGCTTCACAGACTGTGGCGAAGCCCGGGTTAACTCGCAACAAGGTGATGCTGTGTGTGTGGTGGGATTGGAAGGGCATTATTCATTATGAGTTGTTACCACCAGGCAGGATCATCGATTCTGAACTCTACTGCGAACAACTGATGAGATTAAAGCAAGAAGTTGAGAGAAAGCGGCCGGAATTAATCAACGGAAGGGGTGTGGTTTTTCATCATGATAACGCTAGACCTCACACATTTTTAGCCACCCAGCAAAAATTAAGAGAGCTTGGCTGGGAGGTGTTAATGCATCCGCCGTATAGTCCTGACCTTGCATCTTCAGATTTCCACCTGTTTCGGTCTCTTCAGAACTCTTTAGGCGGTGTCAGGTTAATATCACGAGAGGACTGCCAAAACCAATTGTCGCGGTATTTTGATCAGAATACCCAAAATTTGTATAGCATTGGGATCATGTCCCTACCTACAAAATGGCAAAAAGTTATTGAACAGAATGGTACGGACATACTTTAGGTAAATGTAAATAAACTATATTAAAACATGTTGTGACTTTTCTTAAAAAATGCGAAGTAACTTTTCCCCAACCTATTATGAAGTGAAGTGAAATGAAGTTGATTAATATTAAAAAAACATGGCATGAAATGAAATGAAATTGAATTAAATGAGATGAGATGATATGGGATGAAATATAATCTCAGTAAAATGGTAGTCATTTACTGAGACTTTCTCAGTGGACTTTTTGGAGGATCCTGAGAAGTTACGCCCAGCGGCTTTGTTTCATTTTCCCACATTTGTGCACTTTCACAGATATTAAACAGTTAATAAACCACCTTTACTACAAATTTATAATATAATTTTATAAACCTGAAGAAACACTAAATGGACAAAATATAACAAATCATACAACTTAACTCCTCGCGTTCTCGCCAAATAGACAAGAAGTCCTTGATGGTTATTACCAATGAAGTTATAGGTCTATGGTTATTACACATTAAAACAATTACAACAGCTGAAAATGACATAAAGTGACATTGACATTGTATAGGAACGTATGAGTTTCAAGTCTGGGAATAAAATCGAGATATTACAATTATTTACAATATTAAGCAGTAAAAAAAAGTTTGTGCACAAGAATCTGGTATAAATCTATATAAATTATAATTGTGTAATATTTGTCAGCGAACGTCTACATATTAATTATTATTTTTCTGAAATGGGGGTATTTACGATAGCTATGTACTGATTTAAAAGCAAAACTATAGGAATATACTCGTAATTTATTTCATTTTCACACATAAGTAAAAATCATTTGTACACTAAAAACAAACCAACGAGAGTATTAAACAGAATGTAAGTATCTTTATCATGACACATATGGTCTTTTTTTTTGGATTAAAGTTGTATTGCTACATAGCATGTTTGACCATCTCATAAAATTATCTCTCCTATTGCATGCAGCGCTCCTTTGAAATAATATGGACAACAAACAAGGTTTGTTTCACGAACATTTCAGTTTGTATTGTTTTCTAGTGATAAATATTATTGTATAATATATACTATTAATATTGTTGAACTTGGAATTGTCTTACTAATTAATACTGTTAATGTCCCTTATGTTTCATAAAGTATATAGTAAAAATACTCTCCCAATATAAGACAACCATGATTTGCCTGGTTTTAGGTGTTCACAGAAGCCTGTTGATATCACAATAAATTGTGCCATCAACATTGACATGAAACAACAAGAAAGAAGTCCCAATAGTATTTATATTAAGTACATCCTGCAATGAATATTTCAATCTCTAAGCCCAAAAGAATTATGTTCTGGTTTTAGAAATAGTCACCTCATGTATGGGTGTATAATCCCTAAATTTTATGAAAGTACCACTATTTTTTTTTTAATTGTAAGTTTTGGATTATTTAATATGTATGGTAAAATTTATCGTCCTTATACATATATTCAATGGTTTTTATTATTTCCATATGCTATAACTGTCAACAGATTCATTTAAAGAATCGGTCTCTACAATATTTGAAAAAAAAGTTCGTGGTTGGCTTGGTGGCATAATAGACGATATGAGGCGAAGCAGTCCCGTACAGCAGTGGCTCGATTCATTGCCAACACAGTCCAACAGCGAGATTGTAAACCCTGATGAAGATCAAGCAGAACCAACAGACAAATCAGACAGTAAACCTGATGACACCACCACTGAAAATACTGTAGTAGAAACCATAAAACTGAAGTTACAAGAAGAAATAAATCTAGATGTACCTGGCCCTAAAGATACATGGAAAAGAAAATCATTGGACAGCGCTATGCTAACAAGTACTCCTCATAGAGGCAGTGTGAAAAGACTACAGAGAGACCACTCTGTTCAGTCAGAAGGATACTCACCAAAGTTAAAAAATCCATTATTTAGGGATCATTCTCTACAGGTAATGATATTATTTAGTTGTCTGTGGTCACATTTTAACCTGCCTTAACAAAATACAATCTAAATTTTTTTATGCACATTTATCCATTGACTACTCCATTGCATACTTTATCAGTAAATATTTTAAATTCGATTTGATTGTTTCTTAATATTTTCGATTATAAACGAAATTTGGCAAAATAATACAAATAAAACATGCAAAAAAAAGTTCTTATTATGTTTATCTATTTTAAAGCATAATATTTACCTTAACTTACCCTCTATATTTTTTTTATATTGAATACAAACAAACTGATTTTATTTTGCAGTCTGATGCTAGTGGCTCGAGTGGCAGTTCCGTGTTGAACGTGTTAGGCGCCAGAAAAGTAGACGCAGAATCGGTTTTACTTGCCTTAGGCTTTGGGCCAAGTGAAAAACAGCAAAAATTACAAAGAATACCTGATAGATTTTTGGGTCCCTCAAGGGTATGTTGATAGTTTCATTAGAGGTGTTTGCTATATATATTTCAAGATATAAAGTTACAAATTTCTATTGTTTAATATTACAGCTTAAGGGTATAAGCACCGAAGAATTTATAAAGAATGAGCATCATTCAATGAGAATGCACGATTGTGGAATTTTCGGATACAGGGGTCTGACAGGTTTGTAACAATTAGTGATTTGATTTTATGTTTCGTGTTCTTTTATAATATGGGAGTGGAAGGTCATGGGAAATTTTACATGACGATTGATTTATGAGGGTGAAATATTGTTTCTTCTTAGACAGGGTTTCATGCAATAAAAATTTAGTTACTCATAATGTAAATAAAAATCTAAATGTAAAAGCGCTCATGTTATCAAGTTGTATAAAAGTATGTATATCTACTTCTAACATTAGTCCAATGACCATAATCACTGACACATCAAATTATGAATTAATTTGATTTATTACACTTTCTTCTTTTTACTGGTGGTAGGACGTATTGTGAGTCCGCACGGGTGGGTACCACCACCCTGCCCATTTCAGCGGTAAAGCAGTAATGCGTTTCGGTTTGATGGGTGGGGCAGCCGTTGTACTGTAAAACCTTAGAACTCATGTCTCAAGGTGTGTGGCGGCATTTACGTCGTTGATTTCTATGGGCTGCGGTAACCACTTAACATCAGGTGGGCCGTGAACTCATCCATCCACCTAAGCAATAGAAAGAAAAAGATTACTAATGACAATTTAAAGAAAGACAAAAATTCCAAACAGTTGAGATTTATCTCTGTCTTAACTCTACAAAAATAGAAAAAGAAGGTTTAGAATCTAGAAAAATAATACTTAACTATTTTGTCTTTGTATTTTCTTAATATTTATTTGACCTAAAAGTGAAAAACCTCCACACGTTATATAAAACGGATTTTAGAAAGTAGATTCGCCTTTATAATTTTTGTCAAGGCTTACTGACAGGTTAACGCTACTAATTCAATCAAGAAAACTAATACCGCCTAAATTCATGCATAAATTAATTTAATCATTACCTACATTAGTCAATTTTTTTATTACGTTCTGATAATGATAACTTACTTGGCATAGCATAATTTAAAATTGTACAAAACCCAACTAATTATCAATTCGCAATGATGTTCAATTAGGAGCCATTTTCGTTATGAGATAAAACCTAACCTAAGCTATACAGGAAAAAGCAGGAAACAAAAACAAAAAAAACTTAATCATTACTAATAAACATATTAACAATGGGTGCGGAGAAATTCTAGAACAACATTGGAACTAACAAATCTAACTGAACTAACAGAGCACTGTACACCTGTATGCCGCTTTATGAAACCGGTCACATCAAATTATCATAAGCAGTACAGAGTACCTGAGATTGCTGTACAGTAAGTATTATACTATTAAATTTTATTTATGTGTTTATATTTAATTTGTTGTTTATTGTTGTGGTTGGAACTAATTAATGGTCGTGTTCTTCCTCATGCAATCTTACTTGACTCCGAATAGGAAACTAAAATTAGTATGTTATTATTTTATCGCATGCATGAATAATGTTATAGTTTTTTTTTTTGAGGAACTGATGTCGACTCTGATGTGTTACTTAATAAATAAATAATAGTTTAAAAAAAGTAACAAAATACGCTTTTATAGAAAATCCAACTAATTAAATAGAAAATAAATTTTAATAAATTTGAATCAAAAATAGTGTAAGAAAAATAATTTTACTGTAAAAAACCCGTGGGGTGCATGGTATAAGTAGGTATAAATATTTTATGAGCAGATATGAGTAGAAGGGTTATTTTGATAATATCCTGAAAAGCACCCACACTTTTTTTAAATAAAATAATTTTTTTACACTATTTTTTATTCAAATTTATTCAAATTTATTTCCAATTTTTTAATTGAATTTAAATTTTTTAATTTTTTTTTAATAGTGAATTGTCATCGGTCCTTAATAATTATACCAAATTTCGAGTTAATTCGACGTTTTGAAGGAGGTCAAAATCATGTTCAAAAATTCCGTTACAAACATACATACGTCTGAAGCTAATAAAAACATAATATTAAAATATATGATTTTCGTAATTCCAGGGAATCCTCATGTTCCACCATCGACAATTGTAGCTAAAATCATTGGGTGTTTGTTACAAGATGAAGTTTGTCGCGAGGAGATTTTGCTGAAGGCTCGTCACTCTATCGCGGATATGCGTAGCGCGCCCGGTGCGAACTCTCTGCTCGAACCCAAACTGCGGAACCATTGACCTTGTTTACTGTTATCGTGTAATACATTACATGTTACATTTAATTATAGCTAATATTGACCGGTGTTCGGAATAAGCTATTTCTTTCTTCAAATTTAAATTGAACAGCATATCGAAAGATCTCTGCTTTGTTGAACTACTTAATAAAATAACAAATATTTCCAATTTACTTTTAGACTAATCTGAACACTAAATAATGTTATCCGCCTTTGTGAAAATCTCAAAAAAATCTAAAAATTTTGTTACAAATTAATTTTCGTAAGTAATAGTAGTATTTATTTGTAGCACCAAGCTGTGCTCGTGACGCGTCAGATTGTCTTGACTCTGTAATACCAAAACTAAACCAACTCCTCCTTCATTTCGCGTTATGATACCAGCACATATCTTGTTCAGCTGGTTTTGACTATGGCGCCATCGTGCCTCTCATTATATTAGGAATACTTGTTATTGGGACGGAAAAATTGCTGGAGTTAGTGATCCTAACAGTCGTGATCTAAGTTGAACTGTTAAGTTTGTAATACAATATATCCGAAAAAATGTGTTTCTAGACTCAGTTATTTGTCTGGGAAGTCATAAGCAGAATGAGATAGTATAAGCAGCGGCATTTAATTTAAAAATTTGGAATTAAGTAGATTCACTTATTGTATACTAAAAGTTTGGTGACTGACGCGACTTAATAATACAGTTGATTGTTTAGGCATTTTCTTCAATGGCTGAAGTCGGTTAAGCAAATATAATTTAAATAAAAATTTAGAGCATCGTTTGAGTATTTTCTATACAGGGTATATGACTTTCACCGAAGCAAAAAAATAATAAAATATTAAAAAATAACGGAAAATAAATTATAGAAGTATTGGAAAATTTAGATTTACCCGAAATCTAAAACGGAGGCTCACAGACACACTCTCGTTTTGTTATACTGTGGATTTCGATCGAGTTGCTGAATTGTTGACTGACAAAGCAATGAGAATTATCTTATCTTGTTAATTTATTGTTTCTTCAGACTTAAACATTTAAGAAGGGAATTAACCGCTTAGTTTTTAGAAATAAGTTCTCTCGTATTCTTCCAAATAGTTCTATGACGTCTGAGTAAATTCTTACCATTTTACTGAGTTATAATTAAATTTAATCAAATCTCATTCCAGTTAACTTCAATTTTAATTTATTTTCTTTTCCAGTAACTTCTTATTTATGTAGTAGTTCATGATAATATACTTTAATCTCAAAATCTTAATATTTGTTTTAAAATAATTTAATTATGTCCATTTAATAAATTTAAACAAAAAGGTTAATACAGATACAATAATAATTACAATACATAAGCAAGAAATCGCGTTTTTTTTTAGTATCGCGAGAAATCATAGCGCTTTCTTTTTGTTTTTTTATTTTCGGGACTTAATCACTCACGCGTGCAAAAATATTTTTAAACATTGTTTTTGCCTCGTTTATAAATTATTGTATATCTCTTCTAATTAATCCCGTGAACGCATTCTCGCTCTCTTTCTTTCTAGATTTTATTGGATATTAAAAAATAAAAGACGTTAATTGTAAAGGTTGTGTCACGCTACAGACCATTGTTAAGTTAATATTAAACTTGCCTGATTATGTGCAATAAAGTGTAAAGTTGTTTTAAATTCTAAAAATGTTGACATATCTTTTAGATTTTTATAAATAGTTTTAAATTTATAAATACGAACTTAGTTCTTTGTAATATTTTAGTAATTTTTAATTTTATTACGCTCTCCGTACGGGTTAATGTTATTAAATGGATTCGTTTAAATTAAAATTGCATCAGTGTATATTGTATTTTTATTTATTTCCATTTTGTTCTTAATAAAATCAATAATATGAAAGATTATTAAACCATCCGTTGTACATAACATTACGGATGCAATATTTCCGGAATTCGTCGAACACAAACATGAGCACTGCAAAAGGTATAGCCAAAAACCACCTTAAACAAATAACATATTATTAATAGTCAATACAGTTAGTCTATACTAATATTATAAAGAGGAAAGATTTGTTTGTTAGTTTCGAATAGGCTCCGAAAGTACTGGACCGATTTGAAAAATTCTTTTTCCATTAGAAGCCGATATTGTCCCTGATGAACATAGGCTACTTTTTTTAATTTTTTTTTAATATTTTTTTTTGGTTTCATGTGTGTTTTAATGTTTCCGAAGCGAAGCGAGGGCGGGTCGCTAGTCATAGATAAAATCATAATAATATGGTAGATAGAACTAATCATAAATATTATGTATAATTAAAAATACTTTTACGTTTTAATCCTGCGTTAATTATTGTCATTATATTATTTGCGATGTTTCGAATACTCTGTAGTCTGGCAGTTTGTTCTACTCAAATACTATCAATTCTTTTTATATGCAAAGAAACTTAGATACCAACAAATATTTTTTATTGAAAATTAGATGAGAATAAAATATTCAAATGTCGATGAATATATCTTTAGTTAGTTCGTGATCACGGTAGTGAAAAAGTATTCGAAATGTTACAAATAATGTAACGACTGTAAAAAAACGCGATATCAAACTATAAAAATTGTTTTAATGATGTCAACGAAATGGGAAAATTTAAGAAAGCACTACATTAATCTATGCTTTGCAGATTATATCTAAAAGGATAACTTAAAGCAAAAGATAATGATTAAGGTCTTTATATTTTATCTAGATGAGTAAAAGAGTCAGCTTAGCTAAACTTAAATACAAGAGGTCCTACCATCTCACTCGTATTGGATATGTTTGAAAAAAATTGCTCAACCCAGGAATATAGCACAGTAAACATGCAAGAATAAGTTCAAAGACCAGTCCCATATTTAAAATTCTGTTCTTCATTCCTGAAAAAAAAAAGTGTTGAGTATATAATTGTTAGGTACATTATTGTATTTTACAGAAATTAGTTCAATGACGCAGTTTTTCTTTTTAAATAAAATAGGTCAAGTCACCCAAATATCATTTGTTTTAACATTATACTGCTGTTCGGTTTTAATAATGCTTTGAGGAATTGTCTTAGATGCTTCAGTTATTTCGTATTTTACCTTTACATTACCTATTACCTCGGAAGAGCCGCTACTGCAAGAAATATTTTCAAGCAAGAGTTATTTTCACCCACAAAGTACAAAGCGCCGCTAGAAAAACCAGCGCACTATTTTTACCATGTATCATTCGGTTCTGGGACTTCCTTCTTTCCACGATGTTTCTTAAGAGCATGACGCGTCTTTCAAACAAGATTTGTCTTTTGGAATCGTCAGTGGCGGCCAACGGCTTGACTATACCCTTGGCATTAGTGATTGATGTCCATGAGCGATATTGATCACTCATTACCAAATGGGCCGAATACTCGTCTGCCTTCGTAAGCAAAAATACGATGATAAACCATTATAACCCAGTTTATAGCCACAATAGGAAAACTAACTAATGTTCACTTTGCATGTGGCTGCCGTTAGTCCTGGACACCATCATTGCTACCTGCTACGGGCACAACCAACATCGTTGTCTACCAACAGTGTTTGTAAGATTTTTTAATAATAAATGTTTTCGGCGGCTGGTTAGATAGTCTGTATTTCTACAAGAAGTATCAATACGAATTTTAGGGAATACTAACCAACTTGAAAAAACGAATTGAATCGTGTTTTGCAAATTATTCCATTAGTCATTTGTGTTACAACTATCGCGACGAAATATGCTGCTTGGGCGGCTCGTTCCAGTTCTTTTCTTTCAGCATAAGTCCACTCTTGACCTAGAGAGTCTTCGAGATCATTTATAGCTACATTGTCCCATTTCTTTCGAATACCTTGAACCGAATCAACATTATGTAAATAAAGCGTAAATGACCGAAATGTTAGAGACTAGTATTACTAGATAATCACCGAGCAAAGTTAGGTATTTTTTTTGATAAAATGATGAAATATGAATAATATTTTTCGATCTTACCGACAGAATAATAATAAAAACGAATAATTATAACACAACATTTTCTGTAAATAAATCGTGGCTAGATCGATTTATCGCCCCCGAAATCTCCTGTATTCAAAATTTTATGAAAATCGTTGGAGCCGTTTCCGAGATTCAGATTATATATATATTTATATACAAGAATAGCTCGTTTAAAGATATAAGATTAATACCGATCAATGCAGCCGGATAAAATCCGTGCTCAGCCATTACTATGAAGTAAGCGTACATGCCGGCAGCGAATTCCATAAGTCCCAAATGACCGTACGCCTGCCTCAACATTCTCGCTGAGACCAGCCTCTCGGACTTACGAGGAACCCGATCCATTACGTCAGATTCTGCGGATTCGTAAGCTAAAGATACAGCTGGCCACATATCAGTCCCTAAATCAACGCATATTATTGTCATTACTCCTGAAAAGTAAATATTATTGTCACTACATAGTATAAAACAAAGTCGCTTTCTCTGTCCCTATATCTGTCTGTCCCTACTTATGCTTAAATCTTTAAAACTACGCAACGGATTTTGATGCGGGTTTTTTTAATAGATAGAGTGATTGAAGAGGAAGGTTTATATGTATAATAACATTCATTAAATAGTGGAGAAATCAATAATAAATTAGTTTCGGAAGCGAAGCGAGGTCGGGTCGCTAGTATAATATAATTTAAATAATAAACCAAAGAAGTTTCACGTAATAAATATTAAACTAACCCAATGGCAGTGGTATTGAAAATAATATAAACATCAGAACGGGAAGTATTTCGGGCGCATTCGAAATTAGTATGTAGCAAACAGATTTTTTCAGATTGTCAAATATTTTTCTTCCCTCTTCTATTCCAGTAACGATAGTAGCAAAGTTGTCATCCATTAAAACAATGTCGGCAGTCTGCTTAGAAACCTAAAGTTTATGTTTATTAATAAAAGGTTGAAGATGTCAATGACGATTAAATATTACAACGAAAGTCTAATGAACCTTTAGTCCCTATGACGTGCTAAATACAGTATTTATTTAATTATTTCAAAAGTTTTTTTAATCTGGTTGCTTTTTAAGAAAATTATTGATAAAGCCGCAATCACCTATTAAATAAAACCACAATGATGAAATGTTTAGTTCTTACATTTAAATATGAGGTTAGACGGTCTCTAAGCTACAAGAGGGTAGGAAGCTAGGGTTGGAAGTTTTGTGTTATCTACCGTACCTACTCACCAAACCATCGAAACCTCATGCCGACTGCCTTCTATTTATTCCAAAGTTTGGATAATTCCTTAGCAAAGAAATAATTTAATACCCGAAAGACCGCACAAATTGCCTTTGAAGAGTTTGGTGACTCCAAACTTCTTCAAGAGGGGAATTAAAAATTATGATTGTGCTGGCAGAAATGCATTGAAACCATGGGTGCAATATCGATTAATAGAAAATAAAAATAAAAAACAATACTTTTTTATTGCCCTTGTAGGTAGACGAGCATGCGGCCCATCTGATAGTAAGTGGTTACCGTCGCTCGAGGAAGTCAACAAAGCCAGGGGCAGAGTCAAGCCGTTGCCTACCGTAAACGTGTATATTAAACGACAACTTCATAGGTTCAAAGACCTATTATGTAAAAACCTACCTACATATTAATGATGCTATTACATCTTACCGTGCTGCCTGATAAAATAGTTATAAATGCGATTGTAGATATACTTGTGATCCGGTAAGGCCCATAGAAATACCAATGTCGGCTTTCCTCAGGGCAGGCGCATCGTTGACTCCGTCACCAGTCACCGCCACCACATCACCTCTGCTCTGACAGGCTTCGACTATCTGAAGTTTTTGGGTCGGGGAGGTTCTTGCAAAAACTGCATATGAAACGAAAAATATTACATTTTTCCAATAAATCCTCAGGTATAATTGTATGAATCGTCAATTATTATTATAAGTAAAACTGGTTATTATTGTACGCATGCATTCATTGTACAATAAATTTTCCCAGTATGAGTAGGCCAGAATATCAGGAATGAATTTTCTTGGCTAGCGTGAACAAACGTTACGAGTTACGCCACTCGTTTGGTGAGAATTGCTGTTTAAAATCTTGAGAATGCTGTCATTGATAGGATTTCTTGTCATTGTGCGCAAGGTGTTAACGAGACTTGTATGAAGCGCTCTCTCGGAAGATATAGACGGATAGATATAAAATAGTCTTACAATTCTCATAGATCTAAATCATTTGTAAACCAGCTGCTATTTAAAGTTTTTCTTAATCTATATCTATACTAATATAGAAATCTACAGTGGTTTTTACGGATGTTCCGTTATAACTACTGAACCATGCATCCGATTGACTTGAAACTT